GTGTGTGTGTGTATGTGCGTGTGTGCTTATGTGTGTGCCCTTCCAAGCTCCGCCATGAAGTCGTAGATTCTCTGAGAATCCACTGATGTCAATCCATCTTTCACGAGCTCGCTTCACTGCAACGAACGCTCGACAAGCTTTAGCTACAGACTGAAGCTTGTCGATGCTCCTGGGTTCAGCCGCCAATTCCGAGGGTGAGTGAGCACCGAGGAAACGGGAATCACTGAGGACACACGGCACTTGTATAAAAATCCCGATTGTAGATTCTGGGAAGCTTCTTGCAGTTGGAGTAGCTTATATACTTATATTCTTATATGCTGGGATGACCGGAAAGCTCTCTGAGATAGCAGATAACGAGCCTCGTGAGCTCCAGCAGCTCCGCGCGAGCACGGCGGAGGGCCCCCGGCGACCCATGCAGCCACACAGCACCCTGACAGGGTCCTAAGAGTTTCGGCTGCATGGATTCTGTTCGGTGTTCAGTGTTCAGTTGTAGCCTTTTCTGGGAGTCACCGTTCGTCTTTGGCAGCCATGGGCTTTCTCCGGGGCGACGTAGACTCAGAGCCTTGCAGAGCATGGGCCTGGGCCTGGGTTCGTACATGTACATTCCGACTTCGGTGAAGCAACGCATAGCTGGACAGTCGAGAATCGATGAGCCTGAAACTCACGACTCACCACTGTGAAGCGCTCTCTGCCCGCAAATGTATGCGCTTCAATGAAAGACGCTAGGGTCGCCAGAACGTGCGTGAAGAGCCTCATCATCAAGCTCTGCAGCAACGCCGCAGGCTGTCCCGAAGATGCCTCGGGAGCTACGTTTAGCAGAATCTCTAGTGTCTCGAATGAAGTGGCTTCCATCGATCTCCTTCGGATAGCCGACGTATCCGTGTTACACGCGAGGGTCCTTAGCCCTGTCACACCGTCATGTCCTGTTGGTACAATATCGGTCCAAGACTTACGTGCAGCTACACCCTTGACACCGCTATGCTATGGCTCTTGACTCTGCACAACAGACGAAACCATACCATAGTGTACCAGTCTCAGCCCCTAACAATTTCCTTTTTCTGCCTCAACAAATCCAGAACGGCCGAGCCGAGAAATGCCACCGCTTTGCCCAAATCCTCGCGCAGAGCTCGTCGACGACACTCACCTCCCACAATCGCCGAAGAGCGGGCGCACGACCGGGTGCAGTGTGTCTGTGTGTGCGCGTGTGCGCACCGCTGTATCGAAAGTCTAAGTAACAGAAAATTCAGAATGTGCAGTGCAGGGGGCCAGGAACGAATATCACCTGTCCTGGCATGTCCTGGCCAACGAAGACCAAGTGATATTTGATACTGGGGTGAACACGTACTTGCAGAGGAGGGTGGCCGAGCCCCTGCGAGGGCAGCCCTGGGCCCCCGCGGGCAGCTGGGACCTCCGCCCTCCCTGCTACAGGAACAGGTTTTGAGGCAGTGATCGAGCAGATTGGATGCAGCAGTTCAGATGAGCTGATGAAAGCCGAACATGTTGTGTTGCAAGGGAGTGCGCAAGGGAATGCAGAAGTGCAACCATCGTGGAACTGGTCTGGCTCAAGATGATGAGCCGCGAGCTCTGTAGACAAAACAGCAAATCGCAGCAGAGACGCAGAACGAACACGAGCCACATCACCGACGACACTACAGATCAAGAGATTTGATGTGTGCGTGTGTGTGTGTGTGAGTGAGTGAGTGAGTGAGTGAGTGAGTGAGTGAGTGAGTGAGTGAGTGAGTGAGTGAAACGTCACATAAGTAAACCAGGGCCCACCCTGGGTGTGCGCCGTGGATCCGGTGCTATGCTGCCTTGAAACTGACCACCCTCTCTCTGCACCTGCAGGAAAGCTGCCCAACGGCTGCCAAAGCCAGGAGCCCTCAACCTCAGACCCGCTGAAGGAACGAGAGTTTGCCAAGGGAGTAGCATCCCTTCATCACTGGCTCGAGACCTGGATGACCTGAAGTGCAGTGGATTAGGGAGGCTCAAAAATGGATGCAGCAACAGACTTAGCGCTGCTGAAGGCAAAACAGCAGCATTTCAAGAATTATTAAGGGGAAGCAGCCTCAAAGGCTTGGACACTATTTTCTGCCTCGAGTATCGACGCTCAGCGCCTAGAATAGCCGTGATGCCTCACAGGCGGGGACGACGTCGACGGAAGCACCATCTGCAAACTCTCGGCCGAAGACCTCGCGGCACTGGCTTCGGGCAGGCCTAGCAAGGTGCAAGTCGAGGCTTGACGTTTTCATGTGCGACTGTGCGATCATCTGAGTGGGTTCACGCCCTTCGTGTCTTGGCGAGTTCACACCGGTTGCGGAAGCACTGCAGCGACTACACAACCAAACAAATCGATTCAGGCCCAGAGACGTCATTCAGCTGGTCCTCAGAGAGGTCTCCCCAGAGAGGCTCTCCGTCAACGGCCAGCCTTGGGGAAGCGGGATCCTGTTCGGATGGTCATCTCATCTTATGCACGCAGTTCCTGGGTGCCCCTGCAGCACGTCTCCAGGAGTCAAATCTTGGCCGGGGTCGGCCTGGCAACGGAGGCTGAATGCAGAGAGATGGCTGCGTCCGGGTGGAATTCGCGACAAAATCGAAGTTGCAGTCTCCCAGTGGCTTTACTTCTCGACCAACCACATGCTTTCTTGAGGAAAGGAGCACTGACGGAAATGCTGCTACTAGTACTACTACTAGTATGGTCATAGCCTCCACATTGTCCACGAGGTAACCAAATGGATGGGCCTCATGCGAAGCGCTCGAAAGCGTTTGCATTGCGGGAGTGTCAATCTGCGACAATGGGGCTTTCTTAATCTTTCTTAGGGCACACCTGGGACTCGGCACGTGGCAGTCATCTCCAGGCCAGCCCCTTTCTCCTGAGTACACCAGGTTCTCGACCGAAACCAGCAAAACGAAATTACTTCTGCAATGAAAATTGAACCCAGTCTCTGCATCAACACGAAGTACCACGGCGCGTATCGGCACAGCAGCAGAGGGAGCAGTTGGAGCTGTGAAGGACCTGGGGTTGAGTCGCACGATGACATGGTGGTGGGGAAAGCTTTACGGCCCACCTCTTGGCAAGCAGAAAACGTTCTTCGTATTCGGATTAAACCCTGAAGTCAAGTAGCCACCTTGCATGGCCAGGACACGGTGTGACAACTTCTGTCACAGGATCGAAGCCGCCGGCAGTTACCTGTCTCAGCTGAGCATGAAAGCGTAAAAGAAAACTGTCCATTCTTCGGTTGAGGACCTACAATAAGCTGGCAGATGTCGCTGCATGTCACAATCCGTGCCATCAGCTCACCTCATCGCAGAGAGTAAGCACCATTGACTCGAGCTGCGGCTGCTCCGCCAGCTCTGCATCATCCTGGCGATGTCTACGAAAAAGACGCAGACTGTTCGAGCCATGTTCTTCCCACACAGTGCACGCCTGCCCGTCAAATAATGCAGAGCATCAGTGTGCGAAGTGAGCGGAACAGGAAGCTGCAAGGTCGGCCGTGTCGATCACAACAGTCAACTGCAGGACTATGTTGCATATGGTGACCCGAATGCTACCACCCATTCCGGACACACACGGGAAACATACAGACATATTCATGCCCGGCATGCTGCTCGTCCATCTTACAAGCACATGCAACAGGAAATGCCTTCTGCTTGCCGACGCAGTAGAGATGGACATGTGGCGTGTCTGCCTCGTGCGTGCTGCACAGGCATCGTCAAGCTGGCTACAGAGTGTATTCCAGGTCACCGTGCACCTTCCCTCTGCAAGGGAACATAAACAGAAACACACATGATTGAGGCCGTGGAATTGAATGTTAGTTAATTACACTAGTTGCTTGTTTCTGAAAGGTGTAGGGCCACGGCAGGGAACAATCTGCCGCTTTTGTACGTGTGCAGGTAGTAGTAATGATGTAATGTCATGCAGCAATTATGCAGTCATTTACTGTACTCTGGCTGAGTCACTAGCTCGGGCTGGTCGACGGTCATGTGCATACAAAAGCTGCATGAAAAGAACTGCTTGAGTGTCTTTCACCAAGAAAATTCAACAGTTCGGGCAGCTTCTTCAATGTCGCACCTTGCAGGCAGAGCCATGACAGCAGCGGAAGACAGTGCAGGCGGGTTGTCTTCCGCGATCCTGCGGTCCCAGGGCCGTGGTTGAGAGGAGGTGCCGATTGTGCCAACTACGCAGAAACGACCCCATCAAGGACACCAATCCCGCCAAACCCTGGCATTAGCTATCCATATCTAGCCAGGCCCCGTGGCGGTATTGTGAACATGAAACTCTCTGACGACTGCGACTGCTCAGGGGAGTGTACTGCGCAGCGTCTCTTAATGTTCTTGCTGCAGCTAGTGAGTAAACAAGGGTTGGATCCAGGGTGCCATCAGCACAAGGACTCGCTTGGCTTGGATGCACTGTACTCTTGACCTACCGAAGACCTACTGCAACCACCACCAACAATGAGCAACTGAAGTCTGCCTGCCAGCAGGTCATGCGGGAACGGAAGTCGTTTCGGTAATCTGCGGTGAGCAACATGATGGCACGTGGCGGGCTACCGGGGCAGTCTTGCAGTCTCGCACCATTCTACGACCAGCACCAGCAACTGCAACAAATTGTCCGGCGTAGCACTGCGCAGCAGCACTGAGTTGAAGCTGAAGCCTCGTAAGACATAAGACCTTGAAACTTTGAAAGCCGAGAGCTGTGCACCCGCTCCGCCCGCTCCTCACCGCGTGGAGCGAGGCACGTCCGTAGGCGCACTGGGTCCTCCGAACTGACCCGTTCTCTTACTCCTACTCTTGCAGATGGGGAGGCACCGAAAGCGAAGAGTTGAGTGGTGTGGGTGGGGTCCTGGAGTGATGAGTAACAGTTACTAGTGTTACTAGCATGAACCGGCATGGATGGATGATCTGGATCCAGCATGGCTCTTGCTGCTGCCGTCCTTCTGAAGAACTGAAAGGAGGTGCTCGATGCCGGCTGCCTTAGCCATCCGTCACCAAACGAAGGGAGCCAACAACTCAAACAGGTAGCTGCGGTGTGCTGTGCCACGCTCCAGCAGTTGATGTCCAAAGACTTCCGAGCTCCCCTTGCCTGGTTGTGCTCTAGCCGCAACCAGCACGGAATGGCCTCAAAGTGCCGGCGAAGTGCAAACACGCGGCCGTGAGCAAGTCTGTCCCAGCCCGCCTCATCCAAGTGCTCCACCGATCTAGGATACGCCTCGTGGGGATGCCGAGCCAGAGCAGTCAGCAGCTGCGCCATGCCACGGTGGCCGATCTGGTTGTGAGACAAGTGGATCTCCTCGGAAGTCTCTTGGTGGACGAAGCAGCTTGCTGAGACGACCTGCAACAATACAACTCCGGGGCCTCACAGGCTTCCGGCTGCTGCCAGAGCCACGCAGCCAGCGCTGAGGCAGCAGCATTGCCAAGCTGGGATGTTGCAGGTTTCGGGTTGCAAGAAACAACATCATCTTTTCAAGCACGGTGCTGAGGGATAAGCAGACGATGGAGCTGCTGCCCGTGGTACGAGTACAAGCCGGTTGACTGTTTGAGATTCCAGGTAAGAAACAGAAACATGCGAGCTTTCAACGCGTGACATGCTCGGAACACCATCTGTGCACACCTCTACAGCACGTTGCAGCATCTCCATTTGCAACACAGATATTTGATGCGCAGCCTCAGCATGGTCATTGAACAGACAACCATTGCAACGAATTTCGTAACAAAACAGGCTCGGACAAGACTTCTGGCTATCGGAACGCATTCGAAAGGCTCGTCGTCTGAAGTACTCATGTTCAAGATGTTCGCAACCTAGAACCAGGTCTGGCTTTCATTTACTAGCATTGAGTGAGCTCCACTCTCCACATCTGCGCATTGATTTCACCAAAAACGCTGTTGTCACATCTATTCAACATGGATACATGTGGCTCGACAACGGTGTTGCCAGCGAAGCTCAAATCTGGTCGGGGGTACATTGTACGTGCGAAGGCCTGGGTCCACCGCTTGATCGAAGAAGGCTAGCTAGAGTACTTTGCATCTATGCCGGTTCGCAGCCGTTCATCGTTCGTGACACCGAGTCAACATTGATGGATCATCGTGCAGCTAGCGACGTGCACTCATATACCGGATTCTTTCGATCCTTCGTATCCATGACTGTCTGCGGAGAATCTCGTCGTGACTCCTTCTGCTGCGTCGGTTAGTGTGCTATTTGGGGTCGAGATGCCTTTCGAGTAAAATGCACATGCCTTGTACGACAAAGGGAGCAACAGCATCGCCACCGAGGGCATGACGTTGTTTTTGAACAGCTTGACAATCCGCAGGCATGAGCCTTCCAGATCGAACGGTGTGATCACAATCTGGACTCGCAAATCGGTGATGCCACCCAGTGTCAACTCAGGGATTCTTGGCTGTGGCACAAAGATGTCACAGTATCTGCTGCAGCACTGTAATCACTCGGGCTGTGCCGCGTGCAACATCTGAAATCATGGGGGCAGTGAGACATCGTACCTAACTACAACTCCAGCAGTGCACAGAAGATGCGAAATCTTCGGGCCCCATCGCAATTGCCCAGCGAACCTCCCTTGCGCTTGGCCAGCTGTCTGCGCAGCACGTCCTGAGACATATTCAAGCAAACAAGCACGTGTTTCAATCATGAGTTGGCTCAGCTTCTGTTGAATGCCGAACTGACCACCCCAGATGTCGTACAAATGCGGCAAGCTCGATTGCAGCTGACCAACCGGGCCAGCTGTAGCCACCGATGTCCAAATCGAAACAGAATCCCAGCCTGACAAATACCCCGCAACGGATTTCTGGACAGAACCCTGGAGCTGCCGAGGAGCCAGGATCCAAGCTGCTGCCTCGTCGCTTAGTTCAGATTCTGCAGCATCCAGCCTCAGCGAAGCGCTCCAGAGGCAATGCAATGCAGTCTTGCAGCGAAATCCCTTCCAGCCACGCTTCAAAGCTTGCCGTGGGAATCACCGCTTTGCAGGATTATTTACGTGGATACGATAGGCCGACCTGCCACCAAGCATATTTCCAAGTCTTCGAGTAGCTCAATGCGCAGGTCCAACGCATCGTCCACCCGTCCCAGGAACCGGCCCAAAGCCGAAAGCAGCGAGGACACCTCTCCCTTGGCAGACAAGGGTCCCGGACAGCCACTAAACCATGCATGTTTCTGAACTTCGACAGTATTGTTAAGCGCTCCAGCACTCGCGTGAAGATCGCATGAGCATTCTTCCTTCGTCTGGAAGTCTTGGGTCAGCATTCTGTCAGCCACTGAACGAACCGGAGTGTGATCCTCAAAATCAAGTCTCAGTCACTTCTGAGTGAAATGAAACTCAACTGAGCCCGAACGATGACCTGAACCATCCTGAACCTGTGGAATGGCGGACCAAGTCGAGCAGCATTGCACAGCCCAGATGCACGCAAACCGATCGAAAGGGAAGCGTAGCTGTAGGTGTGTTCCAAAGCCTCAGCTGCCCGCTTCGAGCACAAGACAACTTTGTCTGAGCATCCATCTCCACATACCAGAATCACCGGGCTCATCAGGAGGCCCGATCTGCACTACTGGCTCTGCACACACCTGGACCACAGTAGCGATTGGATCGCATCGCTAATTGCCTGATTCTTGGATGTGGTGGGAGGAGAGGTCAGAGCGCAAGCCGCAGCAGACCTACACTTCAGAAAGGCTTTCCATCCGAAACTCAAGACCGAGTGAAACTTGCACAAACCTGGGGAGAACGATGAAAGTCAATGTCTTACAATGACTTCGGAGCTGAAAATGGAAGCTATTCGTGTCTAGCAGCAAAATGCCGATCCCACCAAGCCATATCTCATGGCTCGAGGCTTTCTTCTCTCCATCTTTCGTGAACGGGTTCTCGAGTTGGGTTTGTGCGAAAGGCTGCCATGTGGGCTTGCCGCACCCAGGGTCCTCGGGCTCTGACTGGGACCTGCAGGTCCTTGGTACGCTTTAACAACTTGCCCTCGGTGCGGATTGGCTCCATGGCGCTAAATCTGGGTTTGGGCCTCGCTTCCGTCTCTGCACCTTCTGTCTTGCTATATCTTGCTTCCTGTAGGGCTATACGGCTTCCCATTTGTCATTCAGGGGCTGTCAAGCTCGTCTTCACTTCTGCGGACATGTTGTAGCCCTCCCTGTTTCGGCTCAGGCCAGAAAAAGGCTGCACAGAGTTTCAAGTCATCACTGCCGGGCTGCGAGGCTTCCTTTTCTGAACTTATAACCTTCTGCAAATCACCCTCCGATTTGAAAGACATTGAGTTTTAAAGGCCAGTCTGCACAGAGGGTACTTTGGGCCCGCGGCCTGGAGGAAGCCAGAGCCATTGCAGGCTCGATGCCTGGAAGCCAAATCGCGCTGTGAGCCAGGAGATGTACCTGACATCCCCTGCGCTGCAAGCGTGAATTGCAACCCAAAGGGAAGTGCTACGAGAACTGAAAGTGCTTCGGCTGTCGACTCTTCAGGAGGTGTATAGCAAAGGACTATTTCCCGACACACACACACACATACACACACACACACACACGCACGCACACACACACACACACTTTGCTTACCCCCCGCCACTCCTGCGTCTTGCCTCTCTCTCTCTCTCTCTCTCCCTCTGAGTCTCTCTCTTTCCCTGCGACAAATGGTCTGCCGCGACCGCCTTCCCTGGGCCTCTCGAATTCTCGCGCTCTTGCCCTCTCTCTCTCTCTCTCTCTCTCTTTCTTTCGCCAGGGTTAGGGACTAGGGGAAGGGGAAGCTCCCCTAGCCCGCGCGCTGTCGCGCCCCGGACCGTTTTGGAGGGGCTCGGAGAGACGAACTACACTAACAAGGCAACTGGGCGTGACGATGGCATCTATCTCTCTCTTTCGGCAGGGATATGGACAGGAAAGTTGCCCTCCCTGCCCTATCTCTCTCTCTCTCTCTCTCGCTCTCTCTCTTTGCTCGGGGCATGAGGTGCCAGCTGTCCCGACAGTCGCTTTGTCTCTCTCTCGCTCTCTCTTTCCTTGTGCCGGGGAGCGATTTGCAGGCCCTGCGGTTGGGGCAGAGAAGGTCATCATCCTGCATAGAGCCAAGTGCCCGCACAGGTCCAAAATCGTCTTGGAGTGAGAGAACTTCTCTAGCATGCGTAGGATCCTCCCGCTTGGGATCAGAAACTTCAAGACCCAGTGCTTCAGACCCATGCTACCCCATGCTCAGCCTCTTGATCCTCTTGGGTGCACCGGCAACTGACCTGGCAGCATGCTTTCGAAGCATGCAACTTCTCGAGAGGACAGACTGGCTTGACTCTGTGTGCGCTGGGAAGCCCAGTTCACTGCTCTTTCTTGTGCTTTGGTGCCTGTTCGGCGAAGGTGCAGATCCCTTCCACCAGGAGCAGGCACAACCCTCTCAGATCGGGCAACAGACAGCGCTTGACAGTACGGCAAATGTGGTTTAATAGCCTGATTAGGAGTTCTAACTGTGCTTGCAACACACTAATGCGTAGCCAGGAAGAGCATCATACCATGGACCTGCCAAGGCTATCTGTGTGCTCTTCAATAAAGAAGAAGCCCTCTTCAAATCAATCGCGAGTCGGATGTGTCTCGGAACTTCGCAACAAAGGAACAAGCATTCATACTACTTCACAGTACTTCTACCATAGGGAAGCAGAAGCAGAGTGCACTGAAAACGAGACTCATCCGCTGGCCGCGCGTCCACAGGGCCGCCGTTGAGGCGAAACGAGTGCTTGGCAGAGACGAGAGAATCGCGAGAGTGGCTAACTCTATGATCCAGTATACGACGAGCTCTGAACCAGAAATTGTCTGACCGGAGCAACGGCTGGAGCAATGACTCACTCAAACTAATTTGGATGGAGACTGATCAGACGACTCTCTGGAGCGTCTTCGCACTTTCTTTCGTCTCTCCAACGCCTGGCACCAACCAGGAAGACCTGTTGAGCCTTCACAGGACATCACACAAAAGCCAAGCCACGGGTCGCACTGGTGCCCACGGTATTTGCCACAATCCATGCTGACTGTCGCGGTGTGCCGAGTAATTCGTTCAAGCTGCCCGATACCTTTGCGGTGGCAAATATCTCACTGACACCCGCTGCAACTTTCTCGCGACCTGATCCTGTGGATCTTCGACGTTAGCACGACTTTGCATCACTTTGCCAAGACCGCGCGTCCTGGACGGCTGTGTGTCAACGGCTTGCCAGGATCCGCAGAGCAGTCAGCTGACGGAGGACCGGCGCTTCGACCATGAAAGTGATCCCTTGGATGGCACGCTGGTCGGTTCCACTGCACCTTGTTAATACCCTTCCCAATGACACAGTGACCCACCCCCCACCCCTTAAAATTGGATTTCGGGTCATACGTCGCACATCCCCGCCACCATCGCCAGCCACCCCACCCAAACCCCACAAACCGCGATTCTGCACGGAACCTGTCGGGAGCTGTCGGAACCTCTCGGACGCACCAGCACGCCTGCCCCAACCCTGCTGGAATGCTCAAGACTCTGCTTGTGGAGGGTCCCAGGCTGGTGTCAAAGCTGGTGCCAAAATGGCCGGGGTGCCGTGCCCGTTCACAACAATTTTGGCGCAAGCTTGCAGAAGCCCTCGTGGCTGCAGTCGTGCCGCATGGCAACATGGGTTGCACATGAGGTTCAGTATATGAAGCGTGCAGCATGTAAGTATGTCTTAGTCTGCATAGGAGTCTGAGAAAATCGATGCAAAACCTCTGGATATGGCCCCAGCATGCAAAAAGTTGTCTCAAGCATTCCAAGGACTGAACAAATAGTAAGTCTTATGACAATCATAACGATATTGAACAAACATATTTTGGGTTTCATTATTTCTCTGTATTTTCGATGATTGTTCCATATCTAAATAAGCGACAAGTCTTTCACGGTTTAATAGAATAGTTAGAACTCAATTTAACAAAGATAATTAAAAACTAAAAAGCAATTAATTAGTTTACCATTATGCTAATATTCATATTCTAGGGTTTTTCATATCAGATTATGGAAAAACGAGACAGGTAGAAGTCCTTAGAATGTTTATATTTTGTTAATTTTGTGGTGGAAAGATGATGAAAACGACCGAGGTATTGTCCCTAGAAACCCCTTAGGTAAAACGAATGAGGTAATGCGAATGAAAAATGAATGAAGTGGATGATGACCAGTTGGTCAATGACATATCACAGCAGGTGAGCAATGTATAGTGTACCTGTCCTGAGAAACCCCCGCTTACATGTTTTTTGCCCCACCCCCACTTCCCTCGTGTCTTCCCTGCCGAAGCCAAGACGGGCTAGCTAACATAATGCGTGAAGTTGATGCCAATCTGTATAGGAGGTTTTATACGAGACCTGTGAGACGCGTGATACGATTCTTATAGTAACGCCTGTGGGACAATGCAGGGAACCCACCACCTTTCGCGTAATTAGGATTGTTGCTCAGAGCCTCAGCATGAAAACAAATCCTGACAGTAAACAACATTCTGAAGCAAGTGCACTGATTCACTCAAGACCTCACCTGTGTGACCTACCCGTTGCTTTCCGAAACAGTGCACCTGCTTCAAGCACAGCCGGGCCGAAGCGGACGATGCGAAGCGTTTAGAATTAGCTCTTTCGTCAGGTACCATGTTTCAGTATGCCAAGCGTGGGGCGAGTGCTTTCGTTCAGAGGTAGGTGAGATTTTTTGAGAGAATTCCGCTGGTCACCAGATCCTCAAGTCGAGGGGCCGCGGCCACATCAGCGTGGGTGTACACACCTTGGACACAGTTTGGCAGCGCAACTCTGGACGATAAAAACTGCAGTGACTGCTGCGATGTTGAATCTCTCGAGCTGACATGCCCAGATCGCCGTGAGCTCTTCTGCAAACGGGTGACATGACCGAAGTCAGACTTTGCCAAAACGAACTTCCTTGCTCTGCACTGCGTCCACCGTGGGTATCGTCCAATCTCTTCTGCAGCCTTGCAGGCATGCCAGCAGAATGGGATTGATGGGTGGTTGTCGCGGCCTGTAGACTCCCATCTCGCATCAAGGGAAGTATTTTGTTTCATACTGGCGAGACCTACATGCATGATATCTCAGGTGCAGCCAGGCCCAAAACCACCTCAGCGGCCTTAACTTGCCGAGCAGCTTGTCGTTCTCGGAGCGCAGCTGCCCGAAGCTGCGCAGGAGCTCCGCGTGCCCTCTGCGCAGCTGTCCACTCTAACACCGTTCTTCTACAGTTCCGGCTCCAAAGCAATGCCACTACGGTCTCTTTCTGGGTGGCCTAGTTCAAGGGATGCTGCATGGCCCAGACAAGTTGTGCTGGATCTCCGAAAGATTAAAGATGAATAAACACCCAAACTCGTTCGACTCCGAGGCTTGGTCGCTCTGGTGGCCTTGCTGGGCCGTGTCCAGCTTGTGTCTAAGCTGCTCGTGGTTTTCGCGGAGAGTGGTCTCGGAGGACCTACGGATGACATGCGAGGGTCAGCGCGAGCTTTGAATCGGTTTGCGGCGAGGGTATGGGGGTCTGTGCTCCCTTCCTGGCTCTGATTCTTGGAATGGCAGATACTTCAGCACACACGAATTCGCCACAACGACGATCGTTGGACCGGTATTCTTCTTAGCTTCCCCCACTCCCTGCATGCCCTGATCACCTCGATTCCTGGACTTCTCCCTGCAGTCGCTGGTTCTCCTCACATGTGAGATTGCGCAAAGGGTTGCGAGTTTTTTGTCGCGTGCAGCAAAGGGGGGGTCGGACTCGGGCTCAATCTCAAGTCCGGGGCACTATCGACGTCAGCTGCTCAGCATACTACCAGCAGCACGTATGCGTGCGAAGCTAGGACCCGGGCCTGCATGGCACACACCGACCAGAGCAAATCCAACACTTTTCTATCTAAGCCTTCCAATGTGAATGCCTCGGACAGAGACACTGTTCTGGTCGTGGAGTAGTTGAACTGTCGCGTTTCTAAATCTTGCTCGCCACGAAGAAGAACACAAGTATCAGGAGTCACCCGAATTCACCCGATCTCCTCCACTCGTTGCTTGAGCTCTTTGCTTAGCCGCTGCTGCTCGGCAGAGCTCCTCAGCACCAGCACACGCACCTCCTTGTCAAGTCGCTTACAGCGTGTTCTGTTCTGGCATGTTCTGGCACTCTGAGGACACCTATGACCTGCGTCTTTCACAAGGCCGATGTCTGGTAAGCGACACCAGACCTGAAAAGTATGAAATAAACTGAGTCATTCATGACATCCGCTACGGCGTGTCCATCACTGAGCCGTGGCCCAAGTCTGGCAAGTTGCTGCTTCTTCTGGAGTTCAAGTTCCTGCCAATCAGCCGAAGAGAACATGCAAGCATGCACTCGGCAATCGGATCAGAGCCCATCGGGTTTTGGGCTTGATCAATGACTCGACATTTGGATCAACACAGGCCGCCGTGATCCTTTCGAGACCAGAACTGCATCGACATGTCTGAAGCAGCGCAGCAGTGCGCTTTACCTTCGAGATCTGAACGAAGCTTGCGACTTGCGAGGCAACAGCATTCATCACTTAACCCCCCAGCGCTACAGCCCCCATCATGCAAAGGCATAAAGGCTGGCCAAGTGGAGCTAACAGACGCGAACCATAATATGATAGCATGACAATGATCATTGCCCACGTGGCACAGACCCCGCGGGCTCTGTACCAGCCTCATTAAGCATGACACACTGACCGACAAGGGGCTCCTGCTGGGCTTTCTCCCAGCCGTCTTTCATGTGCTGAAGCTCCTGCTTGGAGACATTAGTGGAATTTGCGCAAGGTCTCCCAGGTTCTGGACAAGTTTTAGAAAGAATTCGGGGAGGTCAAGCATCTGAAAACGTCCCCATCTTCGCCTGCGCGCCTGCTCAGTTCTATTTTCGGTGCTCAATGTTCCCAGCCAGGTTTGAAAGGGAATAACGTGCGTTGAGACGGCAGCATGGACAGCCAATCGCATACTGTCGCCACCCATGTCTGATCAGCCCTGACAGAACCAGTACATACAGCGTGCGATTCTCGATCCGACGCAATGTAAATGCACTGTCGATCTTGGGCATAGGCGATTGCCTTCGGGACATCCGTGAAGCTCAAACAGTATCTACATCACCAGCCCATGTTAAACCCCTCCCACCATGATCTGTTTGAAGCCCTTTCGTCTCCCAGCAATCCCGTCCCGGTCTATGGTGAAAAGTGCTCCATGTGCTGGAGTCGTTGCAAACAGTACACGAGGACTCACCGCCTCTAAGCTGTGGTCGTCCTTCGGTTCGTCGAGCAGCAGCGACAGCTACATCCCTGTAAATCTGAAGCACCTGCACCTTAACTGCCGGAATCGCGCCTCAGTGAGATGCCTCTTCTCTTCCTGCAGCTTTGCGGTCTCCGCCTGAGCCTTCCTTGGCAAGCAACCTACCAGAGAAGACTTGACCCGCTCAAAATCTCTCGAAAGGGCTCCATCTCTTGGATCCCCGACAATGCTGGACAACTGGCTTCCCACGGCAGTCTACTTATCTCGGTGTTCAGGGAAGCCCTTGGCATGCCAATGCGCTTTCACGGTCTTGTTTGGGCAGGCACTTTCCGTTTGTTCTTGTCTTGTGGGCCTTGTGCTGTGCAGCCCCGTCTGAGTGTTGCCAAATCAGCCCTACCAGGATCGATTCAGGAAGTGCGCTGCAACATCTGCCCGAGGCGTCTCTCACTGCAGGAATGTGTTCCTCATGACCACGGAACGAATAGCGGTCGCCCTTTCAGATTTCATGCACAGCCTGGTTCGCACATCTAGTCCGCAATTTGTGTGTGTGTCTTGACAACCAAAGGCCTCAGAGACTGACTGGAGACTGGTATCCTCCACTGTCTCTCAATTGTTGTTTCCGTCTTCTAAGCTTGCCATCGAAGAGCCATACTGTTAAACTTTGAGAATGTAAGATTTGTACTAGGTACATCGCTAATGCTCATGGATTGGGCATGATCGGGCCAGGCTCTCTTCGCGGGCTGCAGCTTCCTCGGTAGCGTTGCAGTTCTGCTGCCTGAGCTGTCACCAACCATCCTTTGCGACTGGCCCACTCTGTTGTCTTAAAACTGCCATCCAGCCCCGAAAACCTAGATTTCAAGCTTGGCTTTACAGAGCATCTGATTGACGAACTACCAGTGCCACACGCACGAATTGAATTCCCATCCCAGCTTCAACATATCATGTTTGAAACCAAAATGCGCACAGCCAAGCATCCTACAACACAGGAATGACGAAATGCTGTGGTGAGTGGGATAGGCAAAGGACTGCACACGCGTTTGAGCTGAGAAGCAGCACTTCCAAGATCAGGAATCCGTGTGATGTCTTTTAGTTCGAGCTCTTGCCAAGTTCCAAGTCACGCTTGCTGGTGATTGGACTCCTGCTGGCCATGCTTCGCACGCAACCCGACTGGCTGGTCCAGGTTAACAGGGAGAGATATGTCGAGGTCGTCAAGATTCAAGATCTTGATGAGTTCAGGTAAAGATCAGCTCACGTCAGACAAGGTTGAAGTTCAGCTTGCGTAGGCTAGGTTCGATCTTTGTGCGGTGCCTCGGGCAACCTGCTGCCTGATATTATGCGAATCGGGCCCTTTGGCTGTCTGCTGGTTGGCTAAGCGTTCCTCCTGTTTGCGCCGTGTCGGGTGCACAAATCCTGCATAAAGGTCCTTCATCTGCGTCAACTCACCCTGTGCCACGAGAAGCTCCTGCCCAAGCTGAGTTTGAATTGCATGAAATCGTCAGAAGAACTGGCAGTATGGAATCCAGAAATGTCCGACTGTGTCGTGCCTAGCCTTTGAGACAAGCTTGAGCTGCTCAGGCCTGGGCCTAGGCGAGCCACCTACGTGGCAGCAAACGAAGGCTTGACAATACTCAGATGTTCAGCTGACAGTCGTCAGTGGAAGAATTTGCACAAACCTGAAGACTCCATCGCGGCGGACCTGCTCCAGCGCTGCTACCTTCTTCTCTGCATGCCTCGCAGCGACCAGCATCGAAATTCCACAGGCTTTCAATGCAAACCTACGGTCGAAGCCAAGACACTCTGCAGTGACAGCTGCAGCCTCTTTGGAGCGGTCTTCTGCCAGCCTCCGCAAATTCTCAAAGGCACACGATCCTGGCTGTCGCAGCATCCTTGAATGGAAAGGTGGTCCGAAGCAGCAGCATGAAATAGCTTCAAGACTTCACTTGCCTGGTATTTCTTCGGAACATGTAAACCATTAAATGCGCGTTTGCTTGTTGATTCATGTTGGCTGCATGTTTCATGACTTTGGATTACAGGTCCTTGATTGTTGTTTGCCTTTTCCCACTGTTATTGATGTTTTCCTGATTTTTGTGGCGGGCAGCCAACAGATCCTGAAATCCGGCCTGCAGACCACCGAAAAAGTATTAATGCAGGAAGTACCTCTAGTCTGAGGTTTCAACACGGGAGCAACCCTTCTCGTGGAAAAAAAGTAGAAATTGCCAGGAACCTAAAAAATTGCAATGGAGAACTTCCGAAACTATGCCACTGCCGTATTTGGGAGGACGCAGGTGCGGCAGCCTGTCAAAAAGATGGCAGAAATGCACAATGTCGCACCGTGCAGTCAACCTCCTGCCAGAAACGAATGAGAAAGTGTTCAGGTTCATTCCAAAGCCGAAAAACCCAAACAAACAATCCCTGGACATGAGCAAACCCGAGATTCAAAACAAAGGCAAACACCTGAATGAACAAACGCGATAAACAAATGCAGAATAAAATTCTGAAGCTGCACCTCACCATTTACCAGGAATCAGACTCTCAAGCATGGATGAACAACACGACCGATGTCCGATGTCATCTCGCTAGAGACTCATACGTTTACTGATCCGATCTGATGATCCACGAGTCTGCCCAGCAACATCTTCTCCCGAAGGACAGAAATCTCCTGCAGCTAGCACAACGCCAAGAATCCCCTTTGCAGGGAAGCACCGCGAGTGAGCATAACCGTCGCACAGCAAATCAATTCCAGTCTCAGACCCAAACAGACGAAATTGCGATGGGCGAGTGGAAGGCTGCTGGAAGCTGTTTCTGCTCTCAGAAGGCGATTTGCTTTGCAAGAAAAACTCCAGAGTATCGAACTCTGTCAGTCCCACAACATCGACAATCCTGTTGGAGCTTGGAGACGGCCTGCTGCGTCGACTGCAGCTCCTCTGGAAAGTGCAGAGGGCTGCGTGGGGTATTGTCTACTTGGAGCCGCTTCGGGCGCATCCTGCTGGAGACGCGCGTTCTGCTGCCCCAGCTCGGACACCTTCTCCTCTGCCTTCCTGCGCAACCCGTAGTCACACAGTCGAGATTTCGATTCCATCCAGGTGAAGCGATATGGCTCAGCGAAACTTGTAGACCTTCCTGCGTGAGGCTTGCCCGTCCTACAATTCCAAGTATGCTTTGACAAAATACTGGTACCAGAGCTGCATGAAGTCACCACATCTGAGCACAGCCGAGGTTCTCCCTGTTGAAGGAAGCTTCATCTCGCGCATTGTTCACTTCAAGCCTTAGAAGATCAGGCACTTTCAGGCCGGTGGTGCAAGGGCCTGAAAGGGTCACCAATATGTTCAGATTCAGCCTTGGAGCATCAAGTCTTGAATTTCATCATGGCTGCACAGGAACCAGGGGTCGTCTGCCACATGCTTGAAATCCGGATAGATGCCCAAGTTGGAATCCTCTGTCAATCGGCATGGACTCAAATCTGCAGCTTGGCTGGGGATGGCCACCAGGATATATCCCTGCTTTCAGTCAAGGTGCTTGGTAGACTTGCCCTTGGCCACAGGCATGCGGAAGCGTCAAAAATGGGAGAGCACAACCGGCTTGACCGATTATGCCGGAAGCCCGAGCATTCGATGTTTCAGACAGGTTCTTCCAGTCCAGCCTATCCCTCCGGGTTGGTTTCTGAGCTCCGCACGCATGTAGGTCAGACCTGGGATGTCATTGAGAGCATGAAGGTTCAAAAAGTTAAAGCGGATTTTGGCTTTTTGCAACAGCAAAAGTGCCTAAGTACATCTATCTTTCATTCTCATTCTGTCTCTCTCTCTCTCTCTCTCTGTTTCTCTCTGTAGGGACTAAATGCACGGGCAACCCCAGCATTCTGCGCAGTCCACGCACCCCATCCAACATCATGCTACATCCTCGCACCTGCACCAACTTTTGCCACAACAAACTACAAGTAGCCGAAACCTTGGTTGGAACCCTTCCTTCAGATTCATGTTTGATCACAGCACTGTAATAGCCAGTTGAAATGCCGATAAATCCGGGTCAGAAAAACGTCGGCCAATTCGGTTTAAATTCCGAACCAGAAATCGCTTGGTTTTCTACAGCACGGGTTGCCGACGAAAACGGACAGATTCACTGGCGAATCAATCCGTACATTGCTGCGCAAGAGGTTATACCTGTAGCCTGTAGTGCACACCTGCGATCCTGCTGGCTTAACGAAAGGCACTAGTACTCTGTGAGGTATTGGCGGACAGTTTTGGCTGCAAGTTCTTCGGCTGTTAAGGAAAGGGGAGCACATGCCACCCCCGGCCGTCCCTGTCAAGGAAATCTCCGCCCGGGCCCGTGGGCCCTAACCGATATCCAATAATCTTAATACATGCTGGCATTCACCAGACATCCACGCACTCTCATCGTCTCCACCTGGAGAGAGAGCGGGCGGGACTTTTCAGCAGATTCTGCAGTGCCTGAACAGATTGGCTGCTGCGACCCGACATGTGAAAGCACAGGTTGGGCGAGGGTTGCGTATGTGGCGGCCATATCCCATCCTACCCCCCTGCGGGCGCGAGCGTGATGATCATAATGATTGTGATCTTCGGGATCGCCATCGGGCAGTGGAAACCCTTGCAACAGATACAGCCCATCTTGCCAGTACATCTGCTTTTCGCTTCGGAAGCTACTCCGCAAACGAGAGGTTTGTATACTTTGTCGGCAGGGAACTTCAGGAGCAGATTGTTCGGAAATGGGCGGAATGGAGAGGCATGGCGGGCGGAGAGCCATCTCAGAGACCCGCCGCCAAGCCGAAGCCCTGGAAACTCCAAATCTACGACATGTTTGTAGAATGGCTTGTCAGTACTGTTGCTACTGGGCCTATTGGTGCTGGTGGTGAGGCAATCGCAGGTGTCCTTGAAACGGGTACGGGTGGAGAGCGAACCATGGGGACCCTTTGGAGGGCAAACCTGGCCTATCATCATCACCTTTCGTGGCTCGGAAGAAAGTCAGTAGGTCAAAGTCATCTAGGCCCCAGTAAAGACTTGGGAGTCAGGCCGGTTCCTTACTTGATTGGTGGCGCATACAAACGCATGCTCGAACACCTTCCAGATTCCAAGCAAAGGCGGGGGAAAATTTGGCCAGAGGCGATCGCCTAAGCGTGAAAGTGAGCATCGTTGGAGGGTCGTCGCGGGATGGGAAGCATCCACGTACTGGAGCTTGAGGAATGGGGTTTTGCGTGGGTTTGGGAACGTTTCTTGTGGTAGTCGGTGCCGTCCGACTACCGTTTACATATTGTCTGGTGCCGGTGCCGTCCGGCCCAGCCCGCAAACGGGTGCCGCCCCGCGGGGTTTTCGTCGTCACCAAAGTCGTCGTCATGCTGTCGTCTTCGCTGTCTGCAGTTGTCCGAGGCCCCGTCGAGAAACCAAATGCAATCAAGCCTGTAAGTCCGCACTAGGGTATTCCTGTTCTTGTGGCAATTGTTGGGCGTGCTTCGCTACTTGCTGCGCTACTGTATGCTGCGAGGCTTAAGTGTCGCAAAAATTACGCTATGCCCGACAGGAAGTCTGTGTCCAGATTGTGTGCCCAAATCACAGTGCCACGAATAGGTCACCATTATCCTCTGGCCATGATTGGTCTTGCTTTGTTGTCTGCTGCGATACTCTATGCCGTGGAGTTCAAGTGTCGAAAAACACTACGCTATGCCTTGCAGGAGGTCTGTGCCTGGATTGTTATCGCAGTGTTTATGCTAGTGTCTTTTGAAGTGACTGACCCACGGTGCTTATGGCGATGGTTTGCCCCTCACAGCTAGTCTACACGACTGGTCTAGTGATGGATAATTTTCCGATTGTTCGTACTCTATGTTCCCCTTTTGCTACTCTCGCTCGCTCTCCCTCTCCCTCTCTCTC